CACATCTACTAGAATAAATAATAAAATCTTTGGGCAGTGTGTTTTTCGCTTGACAAGCGCGTCATGAATATAGTCAATTTTCGCTAATTCGACTAATTATAAGCTATAATTTGTTAATGCATTCACTTAATTTTTCGCGTTAAAAACGGGACTAGCTAACAGTCGTGGGTCGTGGGTCGTGGGTAGAATGTCGTGGGTCGTGGGTAAAAAGGCGTGGGTCGTGGGTAAAAAGGCGTGGGTCGTGGGTAAAAAGGCGTGGGTCGTGGGTAAAAAGGCGTGGGTCCCTGAAAAAATTTCCGTATATCGTAGTCCCATTTAGGGTTGTTGATATCAGGGCCGCCGAGAACTTGGCGGGGGCCCGGGACAAAGGTTTTTCAGGGGCCCCTATTTCAAACTTTTTTCGGAAAACAACATTTTTGGAAAAAAATTTTCCGGACGAGTACGTTCTAAGTGCTTTCCAGCAACTTTATATCAAATTTTTACACCAAACTTCGGGTACTTTCCAAAAAACCCCAAATATTTTGCGGCCCTTTGCGCGGAAGTATTTCACCCGAAAAATGACTGGGGCCCAACAAAAAAATTCTAGGGGCTCCCAACACCTGGGGGCCCGGGGAAATTTGCCCCCCCCCTCTTGGCGGGCCTGGTTGATATCGGTAGATCGGTTTATAAAAAAACAAGTGTGGATGAAATAGATCAAGTTTACGCCCCATATATAGCTCAAATATTTGGACGTTATAATCTTATAGACAGCAAACTATTGTAATTCTTCAATAGGAATATGGCTGGTCCCCTTGTACGAAAGCCGAATGGTGCTATCCACTGAATAGTCATTTTTCTAACCGCGACATAAAATATTGCGGACAATCTTTTTATATATTGTAACCTACAGTATTAAATGACCATACATTAAGAGAAGATTTAACTGATTAATATTAAGTCACATAAAATAGAACTTACAGTAAACCAAGAACTTGAAAAAGTAAATTAATTAATCCGTCTTTGTTTAAACGCGGTCTCTTACACAGTTGTATGACAAATTTCTTTTTTTCTGTGTAAGGACCTGGTCATATGAGCGGGACTAACTTGTTTCCCTCGCAATTTACATTGTCTTCAACACTCGTATAAAATAGAATAGCCGCTTTAAGTAAGGTGTAAAGTCACTGTAAACTTGAGGTAGAGTTGCCTAAACTCTGCTGTGGCCAAGGAAAGATTTTCGTGACTCAAATTAGCCGGCTCATACGAACAGCCCTAACACGGGAATTAAATGTTTCGAAGTAATTGTTCAACTAGGTTTATCTTTCATGGAGTTGATAACCCTATAACTTCTTTTAAAATATCTTTATGTGCTTGTTCCAAGAACGGGATTAGATCTTGTGGTACTTTCACGAGACCGCGACTGAAATACTGATAGCGCAGAGTTACACAGTTTGGGTTTAAATGGAAATACACATTTGATATCTTCTGATTCTGGGTCATTGTCTTGGTACTAACATTGTAGTAACTACGTTTATCTCCGCTTACAATAACTAAGTCCTGCGGTGAATCAGGAATCATGCCTCCAGGCTTAAGCTCTCCTCCACATCCATAACAAGTTTTCACGGAAGGATGTTTATACTGAAGCAAGCCAATCACAAAAGTCCCAAATTGAGGCACTTGTCTGGCAGGCGTTGAAGAAATAGGAATTGCACCATTTAGAGATTGGATATCGCGGTTCTTCTCAGTTCTGATATGTGGACGTTCGTTATCCTTTTTTGATTGTGATTTTTGTTTTTTGTTTTTCGTTTTTTCTCCTCTTCTCGATTTTCGTTTAGTCGATGGTACAACCTTTTCTGGTGGTCTATGTGACGAATTTTGATCGATAACCCTTCCATTTCGACTGTTGTCCTGTCCAAACATTTCTTCGCCAAGTTTTTTGGCCGCTTCAATTTCTCTCAAGTGCGTTGTTCGTTGTCTCTCTGTGCAAGAAGGTCCCCATCCTCTTGCTGTCGATGTTCCCATCTTTAAACCTTCGTATTCCACATCTAATATTTTGCTTTCGCGAACATCAGCTTCAGCCACTTTAAGTAACGTCATGTTCGGAGGGTCTTTCTTTGCCCAGCCGCCATGTACACTTTCAGCTTGGTTCATTCGTGGACCAAATGGTGCAAATGCTCGAAACACAAATCCCTTTCTTAGGTCCCACCATTCCAACCAATCAACTAATTTGTTTCCTTCTCTTTCAATAAACGCTTTTAGCTTTTCTTTTGTGTTCTCGTAACATTCAGGTGTCACACATTCTAAAAGCTGAACCGCAAGTTCTTTAAAAGCATTAACTTTGACACCAGAGAAAAATCGGGACCGGCGGTTTACCGATTCTTTAAAGTGGAATTCACACGTCTTGATTCGGTGAATTGCCTCCTCTCCGAAAACATTTTGTATAGCACTAAGGTTAGAGCCAGCCATGTCGGTACACCAACCAATGGGGTTGAAACATCTTATCTCGCCACCGGAAACCTTCTGAATCACTTCATTAAAAAGCTCCCAAAATAGAGTAACGTTGCGCGAGTCTTCCGCCTCAGCATCCATGGTTGCTAATGGAATTTGGCGCCGAAGAAGTGGATGATAAACGCTGGCTGTAAGAGTGACATATCCTTTCGCTCTCTTATGTTTGCCGTCAAAGAAACAAAATTCTTGTGACAGAAAATGTTCCTTGTCTTTATTCATGTTGATGGCGATTTTTGCCTTTAAGGAACTGGATTTAAAGACAAACGAAGGCTTATCTGGGTTGCCTCTTTTGTCGTTCATTTTGTAGATGTAAAACGGGTCGTTTTGGTCACAATATTGTTTAAAATTTGCAACTGCTTCAAAGTTATTCCCATGAGGTTCTGTTTCCTTCCTTATTTCTTGCTTTTTATTCGAAATCCATTTTGTATTTAGGAGCATCTCCGCCTGTTTGTCAACTTTCGACCATTCCTGTCGGTTCCGAACCATGGACAGGATGTAAGCAGATTGTACCTGAGAAGGCTTTGCATCAGGGTTCTTTCTTAAATATTCTTTGACAACGTCATCTTTTTTCTTAGACTTATCCGACGATGGCTTGACGTTACATGTATGGTTTCCGTGGTGATAGACTTTTACAGCGTTGCTCGTGATTGCCAAATACCTGCGTGCATCACATGGGGTGTATTCTGGTTTCGACTCGCAAAGAGAACATAACATTTGCCCATCTATGTTCTTAAATTGTACTGAATTAACAACACCGTACTCCACAAGGTACATGCATTTGCTGTTGGCACATTTATATGAGCCTTTACAATTAGCATATCGTACCCGGCCATATCCTGCCCAGTCGGTTCTAGTATCTTTTTTCCAGATTCTGCCATCTTTAAGGGCGGCAAGCCTTGTTTTTGTATCTTTAATGTCACAAAGGATGCGGTAGCAGCATACTCCGTTTATTCCTTCTGGAAGTTTTGCCACTTCCTGGATAGGCACAGCATTCCAATGTTGTGGACCAATCTTTCTTTGTCCCCAGGGTTCCTTAAGTTGAGAATCGTCATCAGACGACATATCACTTTCATCCTAGCAAAATTGTAAATCAGCAATTATACTTTCTGAAGACTTGAAAAATTGTGTTATGTATTTATTAATATATGTCATCATAATCATCATCACCTGAAATACCTGCATGAACTATAAATTTATTTTCATGTTCACTGGTCGCTGGAAGCGAATCAGGATTGGATTTTCACCTTGGGATTAGCAGCGTTTACGTAATCGTGCATTTTTATTATATCTAAATTTTATGCTCAAAGAGACATCCCTTTATATGCCTTGTTGTCATTATCACTTTACTTATCTATTTATAGTCATTCCTTTATTTAGTTTTCCGTTTAATCCTTCTTTTGTAAATAGAATAGTAATAACAGTAACGAACTTAATAAAAATCATCAACATCATTATTATTATTAATCATTTTTTCAGCAGCTACTATTGCAAAGCAAGTGCTGCATTGATGCTCTCGCTTGGGACAAATTCACTAAGATGACAACTTGTCTTTAACAGTTGAATTACGTAAAAAAGCCGATAGATACATTGGACGTCAATAAATTCATCCATAAGTCTGGTCTGATCCTACTTAAATCTGAAAGTGCACATGGTTGATCGTTTTTGCACACAACTACTCACCTGACTACTACATACTGCACTTGTCAGTGAGCTTTCATCCACCTTGCAACCAAAACGTTTATTGATTTTCTCTGCCTCATGGTCACAAGAAACTTTGCTAGAGCTAGTCTTGGTCTTCAATCTTCTATTGTTAGATGATTTGCTAGAGCTCGCCTCAGTCTTCACTCTTCTATCCGTGTACCGCGTAATGTGGCTGAAGTTTACCGCTTCCTATACAGAATCAAAACGAACATAGAGTACATTATAGACTAAAACAAAAAGAATTAATAATGCATTTCAGAACTAAATTCCAATAGTATAGTCGTCAAAGCGAAATAATAACAAACCTACTTGAACGTCATTTTCATCATCACTTGAAATCACTGTTACCAGCTCGGGAGGTGGCGTTGTGATTTTTTTCTAAACACAACATTAAATTAGATACACCAGTACAAATGCATTGTACATGTATAGGTAACAAACAATGAACGTATCTCCACGAATAGTATGCCATTTACAGACAGGACCGGAACTACTGGGGTGTGTGTGCTGGGGAAAGGTGTAATATTCCCAAAGAAAAGTTAAAAAAGGGGGCCAACTAGCCCTGGGGCCCCCGGGATGCTGGAATTGCGGAACGTGTTAAATATTAAGGAATTTTCTGAAAACTGAATGAGGTCGAAAAATGTCTGAAAAAGTATTTTTAAGTCCCCATCATCGAAAACTAATGTTTGGAAAAAAATTTGGAGAAATTAAATGTTTGCTTTCCGGACGTTTTTGAGAAGGGTCCCCGAGAGGAAGGGGCCCTATTTAATTTAGCTCCCCTCCCCCAATCAGATACCGCTTAGCACGGCCCTGTTTACAGATTTAAACTGACTAAATGTAAACTCCATACACAGCTATTTCAATTAAGGTTGTCCGCGGAGCAAAGCGGAAAAGTGGAATACGAGCGCAAAAGGCTGCTGGGAATCGTTCACAAATAAATGAATTTATTAGCGATTCCCAGCAGCCTTTCGCGCTCGTATTCGACTTTTCCGCTTTGCTCGTGGACAACCTTGATTGAAATAGCTCTATACATAAAAGATCATCCGAAACTTACCTGTGACTTCAGGTTGGTAAACCTGTTGCCTCCAAGACCACGAGGAAGAACAGGAACGCCAGGGTTGTATTCTTCTTCCTCCCAGGATTCAAACTTCAGTGCCCTTTTCTGGTTGAAATTTGTAAAATTTCATTATTAACACATTAATAATAAATACTACTAATATAAAAATTCTGTTCTAAACACTTTCAGCGTTTAGGCAGTCAAAATAGATTGTTTTGTTTACTTTGCTAGCGGCCGGTTTTCTGCATTGCTCTTTAAAACGTAAGATAGAAGGATTTCCTTCGCCTTCGGTTGTGCTTTCATCACTCTAATTTAATAATAAAAAGAGTTAGAGATCGATTTACTGGGGGGGGGGGGAAGGTTTATATGGGAGTGCACGACCCCCTACATTGGCCAAAAGGGTGTAAGATGGGAGCAAATTTCCATAAGATATGATTCAAAAAGGGCATTTTCAAACACAAAAATGAAATATTAAACCATTGAGGGTGGTGTCACAGACGTATCTCACGTTTTTCAACTTTTTTTAATAAATATGGTTTGAAAATTTTTTTTTCCCTTTACGGGGGCCTCCGTATGAAATTGATAGAACTGAAATTGTACCCCGACCCCCAATTTTTTATCGATTTAAAAAATGTACCCCATCGGCCCCAACACAATAATCTTGATTTTTAAGTGTTTATAATACTCATTTAATAATGTGAAACCTTTCTACGCAGTCACAGATTATAAACTATAGCCAGGATATTTAACACTGTAAGGATATAAAATATAATAACATAAAATATAATAACAGGAAATAGAAATAACAGCAAATATAACAACATAATGATAACATGAATTCTAGTTACTATTTAATAACTTAAATAAAATGACAGTTAAATAAATGAAACTCACATTGCAAATCGGCAAAATCGCCTTCTTTTTAGCCGGAGACACGGTCAAATCGACGAAATTGTCTGGCATTGGCATTGTTTCCTAAAATAAATGATCAAGCGAAGTGATATTTAATTTTCACACGGCGTTGCTGTTGGAATTAAACATAGAATAAAATAAATGAACAAATCACCTTGCTTAAAGATATTGCTTTTTGAAATGCTGTGTATTCATCTTCGTCCTGGTATTCTTCCAGCCAGGTGCTGGGGAGTTCAGGCACTTCCGAATCGCTAGAAGTGCCTGAAGCAACTTCACTATACAACCTTCTTGACATTTTATACAGTAAAAGCGTCGCGGTAAGTAAAACCTCCAACAACAGTGAACGAAAATGTTCACATATATATACATATAACTATTGTGATGAACTCTGAACAGTATTTACTACAATCGGTAATAGCTATATTTAGAAATACTCCGAACGTAACCATATATTGACAGGTATAATCATTATTAATTAGTTGTTATTGTACAAAAAAACGTGGCGAGACAAGTTTTGTACAAGGTTTTGACACAAGTGCATGATTTTGTATTTTTCGTATTGTTTGCATATATAATAAATATTTAATACTAAAACGAGTAAGGATTTGTATATCGAGGACATCTTTGGTATACTATTATATAATAAAGTTATCAACTGATACGCCGCATTTGGCCCCACCCATGAACAATGCAATGTTTCTTTTTCAGTTTCAAAACGTCAAATATCAAATTTAGACCATTATATATGTAAAATGTTATCTAATATTTTTCCATTACTGTAATTGTAAATAACTATCATTCGTTGTTGCACATAGCTTTGAAAATATTTTATGTCGCGGTTAGAAAAATGATTATTCAGTGGATAGCACCATTCGGCTTTCGTACAAGGGGACCAGCCATATTCCTATTGAAGAATTACAATAGTTTGCTGTCTATAAGATTATAACGTCCAAATATTTGAGCTATATATGGGGCGTAAACTTGATCTGTTTCATCCACACTTGTTTTTTTATAAACCGATCTACCGATATCAACCAGGCCCGCCAAGAGGCGGGGGGGGGGGGAATTTCCCCGGGCCCCCAGGTGTTGGGAGCCCCTAGAATTTTTTTGTTGGGCCCCAGTCATTTTTTCGGGTGAAATACTTCCGCGCAAAGGGCCGCAAAATATTTGGGTTTTTTTGGAAAGTACCCGAAGTTTGGTGTAAACATTTGAAATAAAGTTGCTGGAAAGCACTTAGAACGTACTCGTCCGGAAAATTTTTTTCCCAAAAAAGTTGTTTTCCGAAAAAAAGTTTGAAATAGGGGCCCCTGAAAAACATTTGTCCCGGGCCCCCGCCAAGTTCTCGGCGGCCCTGATATCAACAACCCTAAATGGGACTCTACGTACATTCGGGATATACGGAAATTTTTTCAGGGACCCACGCCTTTTTACCCACGACCCACGCCTTTTTACCCACGACCCACGCCTTTTTACCCACGACCCACGCCTTTTTACCCACGACCCACGACATTTTACCCACGACCCACGACATTCTACCCACGACCCACGACCCACGACTGTTAGCTAGTCCCGTTAAAAACATACAAAACTGTTTACTGTTTCAAATATGGCTCTCTTTTGGATAGAGAGTAAGTTACAAATATGCCAGCAATTATATATGCTTGAAATTTTACGTTTATGGGTATCATTAAATACTACATGCATGGTATATATAAACAAAAATGTATAAGAAAAGTGCGGGAAAGGATATATGTGTGCCAATTTATACGAATGCCTTGAGCTAGGGAGCACTTTTTTCTCATCATAGATATAGTGCAGATTTATTTTGCCACTATAATATGAAATAAATATTTTATACATGTTTAATATTTTCATGTTTTTTAAGAACTGCAATTACATGCTGATCTCGGTTAAGGTCCTGTCACACTATTGCGTATGAGAGAAACGTATGCATGAGTAGCGTAAACCATGCATGTGCATGCATATGTCCGCATACTCGAAAAATTCTTAACCATGCTTACCTTGCATGGTTCCCCGATTTTTAAATAGACACCTTACGATTTAGGACAGCAACGGCTACAAATACAATAAATAATTAAAAAGAATTCAATAATTGCAATATATGAATAACTTAGACATTTTCGTCGCTTTGTTTACAACTACCATTTATTTGAGGGAGTTTGTTTTGGCCGTCGTCGTCGCGTTGCCATCCTAAAATCGTAAGGTCTCTAATAACCCCTCCGTGTGATCGTTAAATCACTTGCCGTTAGATGCCTCTATATATACACCCTTTAGTTTATGGTTCGCCCTTTCAGAGAGATTACGACATGCAGTCTTGGTTCATTTATTTGTTTGAGAATAAGTTTCACTTTCACTTAATATATACGCTTACTACATGTTTCGTCGGTTTTAATATAGCCTAATAGCTCAAAGCAACAAGAAAGAAATTCGTTTTTTACGGCAAAATGTTTTTGTATACCCAACCATGCATGTATTAAAGTTGATTGTTTATAGATTCTAATTTCGTACCTTGTCTCTCTATGCACATGAGTGCAATATAAATGGGGACTAGCTAACAGTCGTGGGTAGAATGTCGTGGGTCGTGGGTAGAATGTCGTGGGTCGTGGGTAGAATGTCGTGGGTCGTGGGTAAAAAGGCGTGGGTCGTGGGTAAAAAGGCTTGGGTCGTGGGTTAAAAGGCGTGGGTCGTGGGTTAAAA